TCAGCTTTTCTGCATTGTCTTTTCATACTCTGAACTGCTGTTGATGCTGCTATAGATGAATGGATGGACAGAACAACAGAGATAGAATGATAGAACGATAGATGAATAGATGGATGGATGGATAGATAGAATGACAAAACGATAGATTGGATTGATGGATGGATGGATAGATGGACAGAACAACAGAGATAGAATGATAGAACGATGGATAAATGGATGGATGGATGGACAGAATGATAGAACGATGGATAGATGGACAGAACAACAGAGAGATAGAATGATAGATGAATGGATGGATAGATGGACAGAACAACAGAGAGATAAGAATGATACAACGAAGGATAAATGGATAGATGGATGGACAGAATGATAGAATGATGGCTAGATGGACAGAACGACAGAGATAGAATGATAGAACGTTGGATGGATGGATGGATGAATGGATGGACAGAACGATAGAACAATGATGGATGGATGGATGGACAGATAGAACTATAGAATGATAGAACGATAAATAGATAGATAGGTAGATGATAGATAGATAGATTAACACTTAAATTAACACAGAAGTATTTCTGTGAATTACAATTCAGTAAATCCCCCTTCCTGTCATTCAAGCTCAAACTGAACTTCCTGTAGGATGTGGCCGTTTCACAGCTTTTTGATGTACTGCCAGAGATTGTCTCACAATTGGGAGATGAGAGGGTTTGTATTACCTACTTTTGGAGAAAGCATAACAATCAACTTGGATCACGTGTGCCTTAATAACCAATCATATTACAGCCTTGACGTCATTGAATTTCAGTCAGAGTTGTGCGACACTCAATCGCCATTTACGGATACCATAGGAATGAATGAGAAATGCCGTACGCTGAATCCCACCCGTCACAAAAAGGCATTTTTTTTTGGTGTAAACTTTAAAAATAGTTCAATCCAAAAGTATTGTTTAGTGTAAAACATTTTGGAGATTAGCCAATAGGCTGCCAATTCATTAAATAATAAGCTGTTTCCTCAAAAAAGCTGTTTATTCAGCGTAGTGAAGCCTCTCCTCCACTGACGTCCATTTAAACAAAACGGCCTCTGGTCTCCTTTCCTGCGTACTGCAAAAGTGGAAGCGTTAGCTTTAGCAGTTACGCTTTTTTGGATAAAGGTTGTAGGCTTGCCTTCCAGTGGCTTTAGTACTGATTTTTGACAGCTGATTCTGTATTGATCTATATTGAATCAGGTGGTTATAATGGTTCATACAGGTTTATTGTTTTTTGTCTTCAGGTGTGTATAATAACGCAGGCGTACCTTAGTGATCGGAGCCTCAATAGTCATTGAGTGGATTCTGGCCATAGAGGAATATCTGCGGTTCTGTAGACTGGGAGCTGAAAGAGAGAGAGAGAGAGAGAGAGAGAGAGAGAGAAAGGAGAAGAGCTCTTTAAATAACTCTGTCTGCGTCAGAGTGCACTGAGACTGTGGGTGTGCTGACGTCATCAACGCTGGCCACGTCACAAAAAGCCCCCCACACACACACGCACACGCACACGCTCTGACTCACAAAACACAAACACATTATAAACACACACTCAAGTGCACACATTAACACAAATCTCTTTACTGCTCTGTTTCTCTTCATAATTACTTCTGAACTGATAAAGGGATTCTCTTTCACTCGTTTCTTCTGGTGTATTGTGTTGAAACATACTCTCTTTCTCTTACCATCGCTGCTGTGAGAGCTGATGGATCTGATGTCCACAGACTCTTTCCTCCGGTCCTTGCGACGCAAGGAATTGCATTCTGGATAAAGACAAAAAAGGAATGAGTGCAGCACAAACACACACACACACACACACACACACACGTAACTGCATTAATCATCTCTTATCTGAACACAGCCAACCAGCACCATTATTTTCACCTGCATCATCATCATCATCATTATGATCATCACAAGCACAGCAGTGATTTCATGCAGCAGACAAAAATGAGAGAGACAAAACCATACTTTTCCTTTTACACTATAATAAAAAAGACTAGATGCTCTAATTTGTTAAAATAAAGATAATTACATTTATTATTAACTATAATATCTTATATTTTAAATGGCGATTTATATGAATGCTATACATTTAAATATTATTAAACATTAAATTATTTACATTTAAATTATTTAAAATTTAAATGATTAAAAAATAACAAAATATATTTATACTAATATAAGTTAATACTTGACACTAATTTCAATATAATTGCAAAAAAATGCTAATGAACAAATTCCTTTATTTAAAAAATTAAACATTAATACATTAAATATTTTCAATATTAAATATAATATTGAAATACAATAATTAAATAATTAAATGTAATAAAATATAAACATAATATTTATATATACTAAAGGGTTAGTTACCATTAGTTAATTATATTGCTTATTATTAATTAAAATAAATATAATTTTTTATTAACTATAATCTTTTATAGTTATTTATAAATTGATTTATATTCATTTTTTTTATTAAATTGTTTAAATCAACAATTGTATTAGGAAAACTCTTTCATTAATTAGTGGCACTAATATTTTCTTGGATAAATTTACTTCATTTTATTTCTGTTTTCGGTTTCTTTTTAATGCAGTATGAAAGACAGACAAATTGATTTCTATTAATATTATGCATTCAAACTTTGTTTAAGAACAACAGTTAACAGTCTCTCTTTTCCATTTTATAAAATTTTCTTTTTATGTAGTACAAACAAAGCAGCACAAATGATGTGAAATGGTAAACACTGTTACTTAAGGCTGATTTATACTTCTGCGTCGGACCTACGCCGTAGCTTAGGCATAGACGCACACCCATACGCCGTAGCCTGACGTGCACCTCTCCAAAAATCTAACAGCGCGTCAATTCTACGCAGACCGCAAGCGCTGTGATTGGTCTGCAAGAACCCCTCCCTCCATATGTACTTGAGTTTTGTGCGTGTTTATGTGTACTTTAATATATTTTAATGTTACACCTTCTTATATAAAATAAAACAAGGCAAAGAACAAGTGTCTTATCATTTATTATACTACATAGCATTATACATCAGTAGTTGTGCGCAAACAAACAATGTTGATCTGCCATGGTACAAGTCCTTGTGCAGACTGAAAGAATGCCATCATCTCCTGTTCCATTGTTGTCTCTTTTTTGTAGTTTTAAATAATGATTTGATATTTGCTGCCGTCACGGCTATAATGCTTCTCCGACGAGCCACTTCTTCTTCGGCTTTTGCTGTGGTACTGCGGGTTACACCAGCAACATGCCCGTGGACACTGCTGACTAGCGGTTTGCATGTGTACTGCACGTTAACGCGGACAACGACGCAGAAGTATAAATGAAAACTGACGCATAGCCTACGGCGTAGGTCCGACGCAGAAGTATAAATCAGCCTTTATTGTGACATGTCACATATGCACATGCACGCAAATACATTGGCAAGCAAATTATTATGGCTAATTTTAACAGTCTGACACTCAAATGTCCCAGGGTGCATTGCAGCCATCTGTCTATTCTGCACCATGATCTATCTCTCTATTTTTCCCTCTGCTTCTCAATGCAGTATTGACCTGTGCATTTCCAGCCACATTTTTTGTGTGCTTCACAGCATGTTACAAAAAAAACTAATCTATAAAGAGCCATTATGGGTTACAGTGTGCTAATTAACAGCAGTGCAACACAGACAGTAAACAAACAAACAAACTGTTAAGGACAGACGGTCTGGTGTTGTACCTGATTGTGAGTGTTCACCACAGTATTTTTCTTCTTTACTCAACTTATGAACCTGCAAACACAGATTTCTGATCATCTCTCTCTCTCTCACTCTCACACACACACACACACACACACTGATCTCCAATCGTTTAAACCTCTCACTGATCTCAGTGTAAACTTTCTGGCAACAACATAACTATGACAAATGAAATCAGGTGTCAGATGAATATTAGAGGGTGATTGTGTTTTGTGTGGAATACAGCGGGGAAGTTTACAGAGTTTACTAGTCCCAGGCAGTCCACGAAGTGCTTGGTTGTTGAAATATCGGTCAGATGTCCCTTTCCTGTCTAAGTGGGTGGTTCTTGGAAAGAATCGGCTACAATATGCCACGAATTTGTCACAATACCAAAATTTTAGCAGTCCATACAGATACAAGTCGATTACTTGATACTAATTTCAATGCCGTCACAAAAAACAAAATCCTTTATTTAAAAAGTGAAATATTAATATCAGTATCAATACATTAAACATTATAAACCTTAAATATATTATTTAAATACAGTAATTATTAAGTGAAATGAAATATAATATTTATACTAATAAATGTCAATATTTGATACTAATTCCAATACCATCACAAAAACTAAAATTCTGTGTGTGTAAGTGATATAGTAATATAAATACATTACATTTAAAAAATATTTAATGTAATATTAAATTTTATTAAATAATTAAATGCTATTAAATATAAATATAATCTTTGTAAATTGTATTGTATATATAATATTTTATATAAAGTTTGAAGTCAGTAAGCATTTTATTTGAAAGAAATTAACACTTTTATTCAGCAATGACACATTAAAGTAATTAAAAGTGACAATAAAGATGTTTAAAGATTAAAGATTTGTATTTCAAATGCTGTTTTTTTGGAACTTTCTATTAATCAAAGAATCCTGAAAAAAAAAAGAATGTTTGCACAAAAATAATAAGCATATTAGAATGATTTCTGAAGGATCATGTGATACTGAAGACTGTAATGATGTAGTAATGATGCTGAAAATTCAGCTTTGCATCACAGGCATACATTACATTTTAAAATATATTTAAATGTATTTTTCATCAAATAAATACAGGCTTGGCGAGCAGAAGAGATTTACCGACCCCAAACTTTTGAATGGTGTTGTAAATCTAAGTACTCATAAATACTTTCACTTTTCAGACATATGTGACCCTGGACCACAAAACCAGTCATAAGGGTCCATTTTTTTAAATTGAGATTTTAATCTCAATATATAATCTCAGAATAAATAAGATTTCCATTGATGTATGGTTTGTTAGGATAGGACAATAATTGGCCGAGATACAACTATTTGAAAATCTGGAATCTGAGGGTGCAAAAAAATCAAAATACTGAGAAAATCGCCTTTAAAGTTGTCCAAATGAAGTTCTAAGCAATGCATATTACTAATCAAAAATTAAGTTTTGATATATTTACTGTAGGAAATTTACAAAATATCTTCATGGAACATGATCTTTACTTAATATCCTATTGATTTTTGGCATAAAAGAAAAATCGATAATTTTGACCGATACAATGTTTTTTTTGGCTATTGCTAAAAATATACCCAAGCGACATAAAGGAACACTCCACTTTTTTTGAAAATAGGCTCATTTTCCAACTCCCCTAGAGTTAAACAGTTGAGTTTTACCATTTTCGAATCCATTCAGCCGATCTCCGGGTCAGGCGGTAGCACTTTTAGCTGTAGCTTAGCATAGATCATTGAATCTGATTAGACCATTAGCATCTCGCTCAAAAATGACCAAAGAGTTTCGATATTTTTCCCATTTAAAACTTCACTCTTCTGTAGTTACATTGTGTACTAAGACCGATGGAAAATGAAAAGTTGCTAGTTTCTAGGCCGATATGGCTAGGAATGATATTATCAGCGCCTGAATATAGGCTAACTTCCGTCAACATAACCAACGTGACCACCTGCTTGCACACTTTTCATTTTCCTTTGGTCTTAGTACACGATGTAACTACAGAAGAGTCAAGTTTTAATTCAGCATCATTACTCCAGTCTTCAGTGTCACATGATCCTTCAGAAAGCATTCAAATATGCTGATATGATGCTCAAGTAACATTTATTATTGTTGTCAATTTTGAAAACAGTTGTGCGGATTAATACTTTTGTGGAAACTGATCCATTTTTTTTTTTCAAAAGTTCAAGTCGAGTCTCTGAATTAAAATTATTTATAACATTATAAATGTCTTTCATGTCACCTTTGATCAATTGAATCCACCCTTGATGAATAAAATTTCTTATTTTTTATATTTAAAAAATATTTTGTATATCATTTTGTATATATATATATATATATATTATTATTTTTTTTTCTAATTTAAAATGTCTTAAAAGCGATAATAAATAAACTATTAATGACCCCAGATTTTTGAACGGTGTATATACAGTTTTTCCTTGTTTTAAATAAATGTAAAATTGAAAAACATTTAAATAAATGTAACAAAATTCTGTGGGGTTTATGCTTTAAATAAGAAAAAAGTACTCAAATATTCAAATTACATTCTCAGAAAACAAGCCATATTATTTTCGCTTCTGAAATAAATGTATCTTGTGTTAAGGATATTTTTGTTGAATAAGTAGACAAAAACACTGATCTAGAAAATGTTGTTCGCATTTTTTTTTTAGTCCGCTGTTTTTGAATAGTTGTAGTTGTATATTTGCACGTTCACATACAACCACATATATGACCCTGGACCACAAAACCAGTCATAAGGGTCAATTTTTTAAAATTGAGATTTATACATCATCTGAAAGCTGAATAAATAAGCTTTCAATTGATGTATGGTTTGTTAGGATACGACAATATTTGTCCGAGATACAACTATTTGAAAATTTGGAATCTGAGGGTGCAAAAAAATCTAAATACTGAGAAAATCACCTTTAAAGTTGTCCAAATCAAGTTCTTAACAATGCATATTACTAATCAAAAATTAAGTTTTGATATATTTATGGTAGGAAATTTACAAAGTATCTTCATGGAACATGATCGTTTCTTAATATTCTAATGATTTTTGGCATAAAAGAAAAATTGATAATTTTGACCCATACAATGTATTTTTGGCTATTGCTACAAATATACCCCAGTGACTTAAGACTGGTTTTGTGGTCCAGGGTCACATATATGACTGTTTTATGTCAAAAAAGATTTCATTCTAATCTAATCTAGTATCACTAATTGTAGCAACCATTGCATTTTGACAGAAACTATGGTTAGTTAGCATGGCAGATTTTGGTAAGGCTTGTAACAGACGGCGAGTGTGTGAACGGTAATACTAACACCAGTGAGTAAAGCAACAGCTATTTCACACACGCATCGGTGTGTCTGTTTCTCACAGGCCTTTCTGATCAGCAGCTCCAGCTAATGCTAGAACTAACAGCAGGATTTAGACCTGAGCCTGTGGAGGGTTATTAATAACCCTGACGCCCGCCTGGCTCTCTGACACTGGCCTGTCAGGATGGATGCTTTAGCGGAGCTAACATTTCTGCCCACTGCTGTCCTTGTGAGCCTTGCACACTTTAAAGTTTTGGTGCTAATTTGAGAGCTCTATTAATAGATAAACATTAAACATGGTCAACATTTATTGAATACTCACTGATTTAAACTAGTCTCACATGAAAATATGACCTGGAAAAGCAAATAAGAAATGTACCTGTCTGTGGTTGTCACTGTAAGGCCTCTTGATGGACACAAAATGGCGGATTTTTCTAGAAGTTAAGGAAACAATTGTCTGATTTGACTGTTTTATTCTAGCTGATTTGTACATGTAATAAAACCACCAATGATAGCGGCAGTATTATATATTATTCGTAGTATTTAATAAAATTATTATTGAATAAAATATGTATTTTATTATATTACAAATAATATATGAAATATATTTATTATAACAATTTTTTAATATTAAAATTTAGTTATGACTAAATATTAATTTAAAATTAAATAATAAAATGTAACATTCTAAAATTAAATATTATCAATTTTAATTTATTTGAAGTTTCATCAATTTTTTAATGATCATGTGACTCACCCTCCCTGGCCAATCACAGGAATGATTCTGACATATTGCTGAATACTGTCCCCTGACTTCCTCCGTGAGAAATAGATCCCCTGCCATTCCTAAGCAAACAAACACACATATTGAAAAAAATCTGTTAATAATCGAATTAATGATAACTACTGTTTAGGCTTGTAAAAGGTGCCATAACTAAAGTCAAACATTGTGTAATATTATGACCTTCATAAATAAGCAATGTGCTGCGGCCGACTAACCTTTCCTTTCCTGATGCAGGTATCGATGGTGTCCAGCAGGTCGGCACTGTTTTTCTCACTCTTGGGCAGTTCAGTCAACTCTTTACCGATCAGTTCATCTCTATGATAGCCCATCATCTTTTCAAATGCTGGATTTACATACTAAAAACACAAAGAAAAATCAATACCCCTGAATATCAACAAGTATACATCAGAGAAAGGGCCAAACATTATATGTATCATGATTTTTTTTTTTGCAATACACAGATAATAATTCTCTTTATTATTTTGCATTTATTTTATACCTTCAAATGAACAAAAATCCTTGGCATAGACTCAGAAGTTCTTTACATGGGTCACTGACATCGACATATCATAATTGTTGCACAATGATCTAATCATGGTATAAATAAACTACAATCACGCCGAGAAACTTCCTTCATGTCAAATGAATGCTCAAGAGTTTAAAAGGACTGCCTTAAAGGGGTCATAGGATGCCCATTTTCCACAAGTTGATATGATTCTTTAGGGTCTTAATGGAAAGTCTACTCATTTCTTCTGTAGATGAAGCTGGATCATGAATGATTCGTGCGAACATAGACGCATTTAGGTAGATCGGGGGCGCATTCCCTTCAGAAACAAACGTCATCCACTGCGTCTTCAGCGGCTCAGATGTCGGGAGTAAATGA